CCGTTCTACCATTTTGGGTAGAGCTGTGGCATACAGTTAGGGCAAGGAGTTTGGCAAATGAGAACACCAGCCATAATCCTAAATCAGGCTCATGGTTAGTGCGTGGGGCCAAGGGCTTAACAATATTTGTGTGTACTAGTTTACTAGTTGAATATAAACACTATATGCATATATATATATATATACACAGCAACCAATATTGATTAAAAAAAATGTGAGGAGTGTATTTAAAAACATGTAGTGGACAGATGTCAGAAGAAAAAACATGAAATATACACTGAAGTTTGTTTGTTTTATTAAGACTAGATATAAACACCATGTCAATTAAAGAGAATACAGAATGCTTCTGGTAGTACCAAAGCTGTAACTGCAAAAACAAACAAACAAACAAAGACATTACTGCAACAGCTCAGAGAGGTATTAAACAAAGAGCCAGGGAAATGAGGTAGCTCTACGGTGTGTTTTACAGCCTGACCCACAGAGGTGCAGGACAAAGCAGTTGCTATCTTTACGGAAAATCAGGGCAGGAAGGCTGGGAAACGCTGCTTGCTCTGATGGGCTTTCCCTCCTCTAGTTAAAATCCAAGGATTTTTTCTCCATAGTTACACACAATTAATATTGGAGACTCACAGACTATCTCTCACATTGGAAGGGACCCCTAGGGACCAAGAAATCACAGAGTGACCCCATGCAGTGTATGCTGCGCGCCACTTCTGTGTTAGGTGTGTTTTCTGCTGTCTTAAAAAAAAAACACACCAAAAAACAAAAAACCTTCCTCCTTTCTCCTGCAGGCCAATACCACTTTCTGTTTCCAGACTGCAGCTGTATTTTGGTTGGTTACTACTGCTCCTGTCCTTTCCCGGCTCTTTTAAGGCCCTCCTCCGCAGTGTGCTTTTACCGAGCGGCTGGCGGTACGTTTGCAGGTGCCGCAGGTTGCTTTAACGAGCAAGAACCTTGTGTTCGTGGAGTCATTGTCCACACGAAAAATTTGAGGCCAGTTAACCCACCTGTAGTGAGGCTTGACTTGTACTGCCTGCAGAAAACAGGCAGGTCTATGGAGCATGGAGAGCTGCGATTTTTTTTTTTTTAAATCCCCTGGCTTCTCACTGCCTTTTGCCACCAAAGAGGAAAGAGATTTGTGTCCAGAAAATAACAAAACAAAACAAAACACATGCAAAAAAAACCCCAACCAAACAAAAAAAGAAAAACCAAACAAGCTTGTTGTCAAAACCGTACCTGGAATTGTTCTGTGCTCCTCACCGTGATGAAGAGCCCTCCTCTCCCCCTCCTCCCCAGCACCTTCTGGCCCTTTCTGTGGAGGAAACGGCTTCAGCAAATACTTTACCCCTAGTTGAAGGTTAACTCAGGGAAGCAGCTTCCCTGACCAGCCACCTGGTAACGCCTCTGATTCACCGGGGGCTGGTGCGGCTTGTTCTGTGTGCCAGGGATCACTCACTCGAGAAAGAAAAACCTTTTTGGACATAAATATCTTGTCTTTGACTACTAAAAATAGTGCTGACACAAAGCGAGCACAAAGTCCTCGGGGTGTGTGTAACCGTGTTGTGGGACAGGTAACCAGGGCTGCCACCACCTCCCGTGACAAGTGCTGGTGTCCCTCTTCAGGATGCTCGGGTGAGATGGGCAGGGGACGACCTTCCTGATGTGACCGAGAAAAGAGATGGACGTTTGGCCTCCAGGAGCTCTGGGGGAACCTGGAACTTTTCTATTTCCCCCCTGGGGTTTTGCTTGCATTGCTCTGCAGCCAGAGTGCTGAGGCGCACC